TACATTGTGCCCATGTGGGACATTCATGTGGGAACCATTTCCTCCCGGTCTCCCCTCCCAGCAGCTGACAGGCCAGTGCCCAGGGTGAACTAGTATTTCACAAGGATCCCTCCAGATAATTCCAAGGCCCAGTGGCTTCCAAACTCAGCAAAGTTTAAGATCAGCATCTGGGTAACCACAGCTTCCAAAGACATGCCCTGCCTCTGGAGCTGGCATTCAAAAATTACACCCCAGCTGATAACAGGAGAAGCGCTCCTGGTGATAGCCTAGTAATTAAGTTACAAGGTGATTATTAGTGTGTTCAGACAGGAAGCTCACATCCAACTACTGAAAGTAACCCAAGACTCACAGTCCTTCTAGAAAGGGAATAACCTGTAACTAAATTAATAGTACTTTCTACCAATTATAGATGCCCTCTAGTGACTACCCAGTTGTTATGGCAACATGCCCACTGAAAGGGTACCTTCAATGGAGCCTGAAGAAAAGGCTTAAAATCTTACCTCTGCGTCAGACCAAAATTGTTTTCTAGGAGTGGGAAGGGGACAGACAAACTATCGCCAGCTCATTCCCTTGTCTGTGGCCCTGACAGAGATCACAGGATGACTGAACACTCACACTGCCCTGTGAAAACAATAGCCTGTGCGTCTCCAACACTGTTCCTGTGTGCTGGGACAGTCTCCCAGTTCAAGTCAGCCAAAAGGCATTTCTCCTTATTTTTCTGAAAATTCCTTTTCTTCTTCTATCTGGCATCTAGGTAACCTCCAGAGCAGTTTCCATTCGGTGACGTACACAAAAGTCCTTTAAGGGCTTCTCACACCCTTCCTTTCAACTCCACATCAAGCAGCCAATTCATACAAAGGCATTAGTGCTGAGCAGTTCTGGAAACAGGTTGATGACACAGGAATGTTCCAGAAGAGCTGCTAGCAAAGCAAAACTCCACCAGTCAGACCTGATGCTACTCATGCCTCGTGAGCTGTTTGAAAAAGCCGAGCTTTCTCTTTTGGTAAAAGGAGTCATCTCATAAAGTGTCCTTGGTGCGGACTCCTGCTTCCTATCTATCATTGGTTTATCTTAGAACTGGAAGAGCTGTCTCTAGCCGTTTCTCGAGAGAATATGTGTAACTGGAGTTTCTTTCCAGCCTGGTCCCGCAGTCAATTAGCCCCAAATAAACACACAAAGACTTACATTAATTTATACAGTGTTGGTCGACAGCTAGGGCTTCTTATTGGCTAGCTCTCTCTCTCTCTCTCTCTCTCTCTCTCTCTCTCTCTCTCTCTCTCTCTCTCTCTCTCTCTCTCTCTCTCTCTCTCTCTCTCTCTCTCTTTTACTAACCCATAACTACTAATCTATGTATTTCTACATGGCCTTATCTTACCAGAGAACGCCTGGCATGTCCTATCCGCCCCATCTCTACATGGCGTCTCTTCATGGTCTCCCTCTGCCTTCCTCTCCCCAGCCTTCTCTTGGTCTGGCAGCCCTGCCTATGCTTTCTGCCTGGCTACTGGCCAGTCGGTGTTTTATTCTTCAAGCAGTAAGAGAAACACATATACAGGAGAACACGCCCCATCAAGTATGACAGAAACAGATCTGATAACTCAGATTGTTGAAAAAGTAACAGAGTTGGGGGTGTGCGTGTGTACCTCATGGTGTGAAGGAAGCTCAAGGAAGCCACCAGTCTCTCCTCATTGTGCTGATCCCACAGAGACGAGGTGAGGGAGAGGATAACGATCATGTGTTCTCAGATCAGGCCGAGATGGGAACCTGTGGACTAGGCCATTCAGCCCTGTAACAGCAACTCTGACTTCCTCTTCCTGGGTCATAGAAGAAAGCGTATATTGGTCATATTTTTGCTCTTCCCATAAAGTCAGATAAGATAACAGCGAGGCCTGGTGACACATGCCCTTTAGTCCCAGGGCTTAGGAGGCATAGGCAAGTGGATCCCTGTAAGTTCTAGGCTAACCTGAAGTTCTAGGATGTAGTGAGCTCTAGGCTATGTAGAGAGATCCTATCTCCAAGAAACAAAAGAAAAAGTAACCCAAAAACAAAGATAAAGGCTTGCCTTTCTGTGTGGTCTAACTGACTCTCTGTCTCTCTCTGTCTCTGTCTCTCTCTGTCTCTCTCTCTCTCTCTGTCTTTCAAAGTTTGTAAACCTACTAAGATGTGATCTGTGGTTTCCCTGTTTTATAGAGGAAATGGAAGCTCAGAGTAATTAGGATTATCCAAGGTCAAGTGGCTATAAAGGTTTGATGCCTTCTGAGTTGAACCTTGAACCAGCTGCACATCACTAAGTTGACAAACTTAATCATGCTCCCTTCCCCTGCCAGTTCCCATACCTCAGCTCCTACCAGTTGCCCCTGGAAATGCTACCCATGCTTCACCTCCACAACATCCTCCACCACCTTCACAGCATCCTCCATCACCTCCAGAGCATCCTCCATCACCTCCATCCATCCTCCCATCACCTCCATCCATCCTCCATCACCTCCACAGCACCCTCCATCACCTCCACAGCATCCTCCATCACCTCCACAGCATCCTCCATCACCTATACAGCATCCTCCATCACCTCCACAGCATCCTCCATCACCTCCACAGCATCCTCCATCACCCCCACAGCACCCTCCATCACCTCCACAGCATCCTCCATCACCTCCACATCATCCTCCATCACCTCCACAGCATCCTCCATCACCTCCATCCATCCTCCACCACCTCCACAGCATCCTCCATCACCTGCATCCACCCTCCATCACCTCCATCCATCCTCCATCACCTCCACAGCACCCTCCATCACCTCCACAGCACCCTCCATCACCTCCACAGCATCCTCCATCACCTCCACAGCATCCTCCATCACCTATACAGCATCCTCCATCACCTCCACAGCATCCTCCATCACCTCCACAGCATCCTCCATCACCCCCACAGCACCCTCCATCACCTCCACAGCATCCTCCATCACCTCCACAGCATCCTCCATCACCTCCACAGCATCCTCCATCACCTCCACAGCATCCTCCATCACCCCCACAGCATCCTCCATCACCTCCATCCATCCTCCACCACCTCCACAGCATCCTCCATCACCTGCATCCACCCTCCATCACCTCCACAGCATCCTCCATCACCTCCACAGCATCCTCCATCTCCTCCACAGCATCCTCCATCACCTCCATCCATCCTCCACCACCTCCACAGCATCCTCCATCACCTCCACAGCATCCTCCATCACCTCCATCCATCCTCCATCACCTCCACAGCATCCTCCATCACCTCCATCCATCCTCCCATCACCTCCATCCATCCTCCATCACCTCCATCCATCCTCCATCATCTCCACAGCATCCTCCATCACCTCCACAGCATCCTCCATCATCTCCACAGCATCCTCCATCACCTCCACAGCATCCTCCATCACCTCCACAGCATCCTCCATCACCTCCACAGCATCCTCCATCACCCCCACAGCATCCTCCATCACCTCCACAGCATCCTCCATCACCTCCACAGCATCCTCCATCACCTCCACAGCATCCTCCATCACCTCCACAGCATCCTCCATCACCTCCACAGCATCCTCCATCACCTCCATCCATCCTCCACCACCTCCACAGCATCCTCCATCACCTGCATCCACCCTCCATCACCTCCATCCATCCTCCATCACCTCCACAGCATCCTCCATCTCCTCCACAGCATCCTCCATCACCTCCATCCATCCTCCACCACCTCCACAGCATCCTCCATCACCTCCACAGCATCCTCCATCACCTCCATCCATCCTCCATCACCTCCACAGCATCCTCCATCACCTCCATCCATCCTCCCATCACCTCCATCCATCCTCCATCACCTCCATCCATCCTCCATCATCTCCACAGCATCCTCCATCACCTCCACAGCATCCTCCATCACCTCCACAGCATCCTCCATCACCTCCATAGCATCCTTTTCATCCCCAGTGCATTTGGGTATCAAGGCCTGTCCTGTCTGGATTTGGCCATGGATCTATCACTGCACCTTATCCTTTGTTTCCTTTTTTTCTCTTCCTTTTTATTTATGTTTTCTTCTTTTTAATTAATTTTAAAATAAATTCTATTTATTATTATTGTGTGTGCATGATATGCATGTGTATGGAGGTTCGCAGCAGCAGAGGTTACAGGGCAACTTTGTGGAGTCAGGTCTCTCCTTTCATGTGGGATCTACAGAAGGAACACAAGTTGTTGAACTTGCACGGCAAGTGCTTCACCTGCAGATCATCTCACTGGCCCCACTCTAGCTTTGAGGGGCAACATTTCTCTGTTATAGTACATACTTTTTTATTTGATTTTTTTCCTCCAATGCTGGGGCCGGAGTCCAGCTTTTTGGTGCATTTTCAGCAAATACTAGTTCACCCTTAATTTGAATCTTATATCGCCATTTCTGTTTAAAGTGTCTGTCTTCTGAACTGTGAGGTTCCTTAAGCCTAGATTAATACACATATTAATATGTAACTGTCATTCTTGATGTCTTAGAACAAACATAGACTAGATGTTAAAAACGACCATTTAAAAAATTCTTCAGGGATTGTCTACACAGACTGAATTAATATATAAAACACCTTTTTAATTTTATTAAGTGGCTACAGTAGGATGCAAACTGCATACAGTGCCATTTCAACTACTGTAATAGACACAATAAACTACTTTTTAAAAGAGTGTGTGTGTGAGAGGGAGTCCTGCAGGTTGGTACATGCTTGTAATCCCACTAGGAAGGCATAGGCAGGAAGATGAGGAGTTCCAGATAATCCTTGGTGTATAGCCAGTTGGACTTTACATCACATGCATGTGCACGCGTGCGCGTGCGCACACACACACACACATACACACACACACACAAGGAGACTATTTGGGGAAGAAGGGGACCAGGGGGAGAGCCAAGAGAACACAGGTGGTAATTAATAGTGAATATAATCAGAGAACAATGATACACATGCACGAAAAAAGTCACAACAAAGCCAATTATTTTGTATGCAAATTTATTTTTATGTGTATGTGCATCTGTGCACATGTAAGGTACACGTGTGGGTTCCCATAGAGACCATGGAAGTTGGATCCCCTGGAGATGGAGTTACAGGCAGTTATGAGCCCCTCACTAAGTGGGGAGGTGTCTGAACTTCAATCCTCTGAAAGAGCAACAAGTACCCTTAACTGCTGAGCTATACTTCCAACCCCTTTATATGTGAATTTTTAAAAACTAATTCTGGAAGTTATCTTAAGACATTTATTTCACCTTTAGGCCATCATTTGCAGTGTCTATTTTTGTGGATATATTAAGTAGAGAAGGCAGGCAGGCAGGCAGGCAGAGGCAGAGGCAGACGTTTTTTTATGGAGCCCAACCTTTCCTTTGGTTGATGAGGTGATGGTGGGGGTGATCCGGGATCACTGTTCTTGATACAAAATCAGCTGAAGCATCCACTGATGCCTCTGAGAACTAAGAAAGGAAACAAGAAACCTTATTACAAGTACACCAGGAAGGATGAATGATACGCCCATAGATGCTGGTAGCTGGCTGAGTGGTGGACGCTGAAATGTTGCTGGAGATTCTTGTCCCACCACTGCTTCAGTCCCAAATGAACACACAGAGGCACTAAATTATTAAACTGTTGGTTGATGGTATAGTCCCTGCCTACCTTTCCCAGAATTCTCCTCGTCTCCTAGCCCCGCCTATCTTCCTGCTTCTCCTGACTATTGGTCAAACAGTGTTTTATTCACCAACCATTAAGGGAAACATATATACAGAAGGAATCCCCCATCACTGGGAGGTGCAACCTGGCCTTTGAAGATGTGGGATGAGTCCAAACTCCCTAGCCCTGAGATTCACAGCTCCGATAGACAGACAGCTCCTTCCCTGCTATGGAACTCAGAGCAGTTCCTTCACACCTCCAGCCTCACTTTCTTCTAATACTTAATTGATAACTTAGCTATTGTTCTTTGAAAATTATTTAGAGGTATGGAAGGTTCAAGGCCAAATTATTTTGCAGGCAGTTCAGAATAAGACTTTAGCAGACAGGATTTATAGGCCAGGTGAAGGAAGAGACATCTGGGATTTAAAGAGAGAAGGAATTTTGCGGAGAAGAGATAGCCAGCTAGAGGATTTAATTCCTCTCTGCACTCCAAGGTCTTTTAATTAAATATCGGAACCCACTTAACCTGGCATAAAGCAAAGGAGATGACAATGAGGGCCCAGAGACCAGGGAGCCATGACGGGCACAGCAAGGCATCCAGTGATTGAGAAGGGGAGAGTGAGGAGGCAGGCTTTCCAAGCAGTTACCTTTCATCCTCTCTCCCTGCGTTCTCCCCAGTTTTCCCTCTCTGTGCACTTCTCCAGCTTCTCATCCTCTCTCCCTGAGTTCTCCCCAGTTTTCCCTCTTTGTGCACTTCTCCAGCTTCTTTATCTGAGTCCTGCCCACCTTGGCCACAGGCTTTGACTTAAGGAGCTATCAACAGGGGGAAGAAGTTTTTCAGTCTCTTCCTGCTGATTCTTGCAAGAAGAAATTGGATTGGCTCAATTCAATGGAGCCTAGTCAACCTAGCCAATGGAGCCTTGTGTCAGGCATATATTTCTGGTTTAATTAGCTAATTAAACCAGATGATTCCCTTTATTTTGAGTGTGATCTGGCAAAAAAATACTGTCTTGCAGAGAAGTGTGGCCTGTTTTTCCCCAAGCCCTCATCAGGGTCAGTAATGGATATTCATGCCACTGACCTGAGATCTGACCTTTAAATCTAAGGGCCAATGAGAAACGTCTGCTGATACATTGATCTCTCAATGTCCTTGAATATTGCCAGGCAAGGTTTGCTTACTGTATGTTCCCGTCTGGGCTCCAGGGCTTTCTCTAAAGAGAACGACAAACTCTTTCTGCAGGTTGAAATTTTTTCAGGTTGAAAATTCAGCCTCTTGGCACTTAATTCCACAACTCCATTTGCCAAAAGATTACAAACTTCTTAAAGGTAGATAATCTTGGAGATCAGATCCAGTGATCTCATCTTACAGATGTAAGGACTGAGGCCCAGAGGAGGCAGTGTCACACAGTGAGAGAGGGGTCAGATGGTACCCGGAACCTCACAGGTACCTTGCCATGGCTTCGGCACGGCACACTCCCAATAAACATTCCTCATTTTACCCCTTATTTCACTCTGGCTTCTCTCAAGTTCACAGCTCTTTGCTCATAGCCCTTTCTTCACTGATGGTTACCTCTGGGATTGATTTGCATCTTCCTTCCAGGCAATGGTCTTTGGGGTTTTGTAATGGAAGATGAGATGAGGCAGGAGTGAAATTCAACCTGGGCCTATCAAGCCAGTATCTCTGTAGGTCAACACTACCATACCACAGGACAGACACCAGAAGAGCACCTACTTTCTTTCTGTGGGGTGAGCAGTCACCACAATGTGCAACGAAGCCACTCCAGCCCCTGTCAAAATGCATGACTTTTGCAGAGTGCCCAGGCCGGTGCTACATCCCCATCAAGTTGCACTTCTGATGACTTCCTCCCAGTGAGAAAATTTGTGTAGCTGTGGACCCATTTTCCTCTCAGAAGCCTTTCTGACCATTGCACCTCCTGGATCCTTAGTTTACTGAAAGTCACCTTACACAGTTAGGAACTTTATCCCTTTCATACCACCTCCTGGGTATCCACATGGACTCCTGAAGGCAGCCAGATTCTCTCCACCACCCTCTCTGGCTTTCCTAACAGCCCTTCAATCAGTGGGAGGGAGCTGAAGGAGATCCACTCTAAAGTGCTTGGCTAGCATGCATGAGGTCCTGGGTTCCTAGCACTGCAAAGTAAGTAAATAGACAAATGCATAAATGTGTGGCCTGCTGAAGATAAATTTTCACTTGGAAAAGCTATAGAGATAGCTGAGAGAAGGACTGGGCAGGAAGGAGATGTATATTTATTTTACCCCCATCTTGGGCATGTATAGATTCGGAGAAGTAACTGCTTGAACCAGAGAGCTGCTGGGTTTTCCTTTATAGAATATGTTGTGACAAACAAAACAAAAAATATCCCTCACTCCTGCAGTTGCCCAGTGTCAATGTCTTTTCTCTAGGACTCTGCACTCAGCCCCTTTACCGACTTCAGCTTGCAGGTGAATGCTAGATCAACCACAAGACTGGGAAGGTAGGTCCTGATGCAAGCCAAGCAAGTCAGGCCTTCAGTCTGGGCACATCTATCAGAAGGATACACAAGGCCTCCCCTCTAAAGTCCCCCCATCCCAATCTGCAAAGCTATCACCAGAGGCCGTGTAAGAGAGTCCTCAACAGGAAAACACAAATATGTGGGTTGGAGGAGAGAGTGACTAGCAGGTCTCAGGAAGGTAAGCAACAGTCTAGTAGATGGGGGAAGACCAGGGACCTAGGATCTGAGACTATGAGAGCCAGGAAGTAGTTTGATGGACACCCATGCAGTGGCTCAGGGCACTGCCCACTCTCCAAGGGGAGCCCATGGCACTGCCCACTCTCCAAGGGGAGCCAGCCTTGGGCTAGGAGACCCAGTATGGGGTCTTTAGGAACAGAAAGCACATAGACCTCATTCAGCTGATGGGGAAAGAGCAATGGGCTAAGTTTCCTTGAAGACAAAAGAACTTATTTCCCGCATTAGGATGAAGGACTCAAGATTCCTTCCCACTGTGTCAGCTCTGCTGGCCTATAATTACAGAAAGAAAACATACACAGTCATCCGTATGGACCGGAAAGATCTTGGTACAGGAAAGGAACTCAACCACACTGCCCATATGCCACAGGTCAGGACCACATAAAAACCAGATTATCACTGATTCCCATAAGGTTAAGGCTGTTAAATGAGTTCCTCAAGGTCACCCTACTTGGAGCTTTAGTTAACTACCCATGATCACAGCCACGGGGGGGTTAGGCTGATATTCAAACTCAGGTGTCAGCCTGACTAAAAGAGTCCCCTCTGTTGTGCTTAGCCATGGCCCAAACCCCATAGAGCCCCCACAAGTGCTCTGTGAGGATGTTTTATATTCTACAGATTGCTCAGCATCTCCTCACCTCTGAAAGGTGAGGAGACTTGCAGCCAGGGTGAAGACTAGACCAGACAGTTCATTCTCAGTTGCTTTGCAGGTGGCGTGCCTGTCACTGGATGTGCAAACTCCAGCCCTGAGAACAAGGTAGAGAAATCGGAATTTGCTGGAAGGCTAGAATCTGGTACTATTAGTTAATATTTTGCAAACCTAGGAAATCATCCAGATGTTAGAGTATAAAAATGACTCACCGCTGACCCAAATGAGGCATCCTGCTAAGGACAAACCCCAGAAAGCCAGGTGCACACACTTGTGTTTCTTTGATACTGGAGAGAGCATGTTGGGATCAGCAGGACTGCTTGGCACCAGACAATAGACTTCCAGCACACATTCTTCCTTGTACCAGATGCTGGTTGGTGAGAGAGAGAGAGAGAGAGAGAGAGAGAGAGAGAGAGAGAGAGAGAGAGAGAGAGAGAGAGAGAGAGAGAGAGAGAGAGAGAGAGAGAGAGAGAGAGACCCATGGAGCACTTTGGTTTTGTTTGGTTCAAGAGTCAAAGGCACTCTCCACAGGTTGTGAACACGCATTCCGTTTTGCTTTCCGCCCATGGCCTGCTCCATTCAGTGTTCAAAGCAAAATCCCAACTACTCTAGGTCGCTCCAAGCCCTGCCTCTTCAAGGAAGCAAGGCTCCTTCTGCCCTCTAGGCTCACCCTCTAGTCATCCCTTCCGTTCTGCACTGCTCCCCCCTTGCCCCCCAAGCAACCTGTCCCCTTTCTAGCCGAAAAGCTGGCGGCTGCAGAATTAGCTCTCTTCTCTTGAATCTAGAACATTCCATAGCCATAACAGATGCCTGTCCCTTGCTTAAAACAAAACAACAACAACAAATGTAGTAACTCTTCATTTAAGTACCATCCCTCAGGAAGCCTCCCCACCCGCATCCTGGCTGGCTGCTCCTCCAGAGGTTCCATGGTGCTCTGTGTTTGTGCCTGTACTAGTGGTTACTTAACCCCCATTCTTTCATAGACTGTGGCCCTGCCACAAGACTGAGCTCCTGGAGGGCACAGACTGAGGGGTTTCCTGGTCCCTGCATGCCCGGATATGCCCATTGGATGTTTTACAAATTAATTGCTCAAAGGCTTTCTACAGCAGGTCTCTTCTAACAACTCCAATATGCACCCGACTCCATCGCTTGGTGAGACATACAGCACGTTATATATTCTTCCTGGAGGCCTCTGCGCTAACGTCAGTTTTTAACCAAAACAGTGGAGATCTGGTCGAGTGATGACTGCATTATTCACTGCATCGAATTCTTCCAGCTACAATGTCCCAGCTTTTTAGCATGACCAATGGAAAATTAATCGGTCGCAAAGTGCATATCTAATTACAACACACCGCCCTGCCACAGCGATGCACGAGCCTTAATTATAGCATATGAATCTCAATAACCTACGGTGGCATTTAATGCCGCATTAATAACGCCACTTGTTTCCCCCACAACATCTCTGCCAGTGCATACACTACGCTTTTTCTTATCTACCATTAGGGCAGACTTTACACTTTAAGCACGGAAGTCCTTATCCTTTACAGCCTGCCTGATTCTAAAACCAAGTGTTTCTCTTCAAGTCACAAGGTGCCTTCACCCTCAGTTCTGTTCCCCACCGCAAAGGGCCCCGCTAGCGCAAGAGATCGTTGGAGGGCGGATGTCACCGTAGCAACACTGGTCTGTCCAGGCAGTTAGGCGGCATCCCCGGCGTCCCTTCGGTTCCCAGAGCGCTAGGGCCCGCCATCCCGGGAAAGAAAGGCGAACTACATTACCCAGCAGGCTTGCCGTCTCCCTCTTTCCTTTCAAGTCTTTGCACGTGGCCGGAGGGGGAGGCGGGGCCTGGACGTCACTCTTCTACATTCCCTTTCCCTGTGTCAGTACAGGGATCATTTTTTTCCTTCCTCTACTCCCTCCCTCTGCCTGCCCCTCCCTCCCTGTCTCCCTTCCCTCCCTCCCTCCCTTCTCGACTGGGTCGGTCCGCTGGGGTGCCGGATCCCCTCACGGCTGGGACGCGCCGAACTCGCAGCAGGAGTCGGCTTTCGGGAGCCTGGTCCCTCCCTTCCCCTTCCCTGCCCCCTTCCCCCACCCCCGACGCGGGCTCCGCGCGGCGGCCGGAGGAACCCCGAGGTGAGCATCCCTCGTCCGCCCTTCTCTTTTAGTCACCTCGGCTTGCGGGTGGAATCGGGGACCCGGGAGGAGGGCTACATGAGGTGCTCTCGATAAATCCGGGAGAACCGCTCCAAACAATTCTCCCCCTTCCCCCTCCCAGTGCCTTAGCCAGCCCGGTGTCCGCACCCTTCCACCGTCCTCTCCTCTGGCTCTAGGGGGGCATCGCACTCTCCGATCTCGCCCCTACCCAGGGTTTGTCCTGTGGTGGGCCCCGCTCGCCGCGCTGTAGGGACCGTGACACCGGACCTCCGAAACCCAGAAGGATTCCTGGGCGCGGGGGGGGGGCACGCGCGTCTGGAGCCCCACTCGCGTTGGAGCTGCGCGCTGTAGCCGATGTCATGTGCCCGGTTCCGACCCGCGGGGAGGAAGCCCGCGAGCGAGATTCCTCTCCCTTTTGTTTTGGAGCCTCGTTTGCTGCAATGAGCAGTTGTTCCAGCGCCAGGCAAACTTGCAGCTGTTCCGACCGCGCTCTGCGCTGAGGTCGGAGCGCGACTGGGGAGGCGGCGGCGGGCGCGGCTGCAGCACTCGGAGCCGCGGGAGGGAACCCGGGAGTGTGTGTGTGTGTGTGTGTGTGTGTGTGTGTGTGTGTGTGTGTGTGTGTGTGTGTGTGTGTGTGTATGTGTGTGTGTCCACGCTGCCGAGTCGCGGGAGGGAACCCGGGTGTGTGTGTGTGTGTGTGTGTGTGTGTGTGTGTGTGTGTGTGTGTGTCCATGCTGCCCTACCCCGCCGGGCTGACGGATTGTGTCTGTGGCTGCGGCCGTCCCCGCGGGCTCGGCGATATCTGTGGCTGCCTCTTGTCTAGACAGGCAGCAGACCCCTCCTTTCGTCCCCGGTGAGCCCGCGGGTCTCGGAGGGCGCGGCGGATGGGAACAGTGGAGGCAGCGTTGGTAGATCCTTTGCAGTGGCAGTTTTGGCCGTTCTCCGCCGTGGCGATTCTTTTGGCTTTAAGAATTATCATTCCTGTGGCCTCGGAGTAATGGGGCCTGGGGGATAGATACGCCCTGCAGATCTGAGGTTAAGTCGACAGGCTCCAAAAGGCCGATTCTTGCTGGCGGGTAACCCAAGGGCTGCGGAGTGCGCTGATTTGGGGGGGGGGTAGCAGGTGACGTTCTTAGGCGCCGGTTTTAGGGGGAGATGGGGGCGGTGGCTTGACTGAGGCAGATGTCTAGGGGACCCGGAGATCGCGTGCGGGCTCCTGGATGCCACCGGAGGAGGCGTTCCTGAGACCGGGAGTCTGAGCTGGTTGTTTATTGGCATTAAAAGACAATCCAGGATTCAAAACCCTTCACTCAGCCTCCTGGGCTCTCTGGTTTTGCAGAGTTCTCAGGGTAAGGGCCAGGGGGCGTGTGAGCTGAGAAGGGGGCGCGGCTTGTAGAGGGGAGGGATCGGTGGCTGTGCCCTGGGTGTCCCCACCAAGAGGGAGGCGTCGTCTCCCCCGCCCAACTGTTTGTGTGTGTACACACAGCTTGGTCTTCGAGGGGGCGGCATAGTGGAGAACAGCGTGGGGTGGATGCCTCAAGGGATTGGCCCAGCCAGCTCCAAATGGTGTGAGTTGGGCTCTCTGCCTTGTGTGTGTCCGGGCTTGCGTTACTAAGGAATCCTTCGACTGGCTGGGGAAGACCTTAAGCTGGTTTGGGCTCTCCAATGTTTGTGCGGGAGTCCCTAGCCCTGTGGCCCTCCCTCCACGTTTCTCTTGTCCCCGTAGTCCAGTGATTGGCTGGGCTGGGAGGATCCACCCAAACTCTGGCGCCCCACCCACCTAACCCGCACACCCTGCTCGCGGGTTCAGGATCCTTGACCCTAGTATGGAGGCTCCCGGTGATGCTCGTGCCTGCACATTCTCTCAGCTGTCTTCCCAGGTCCTGGAGAGAATGTACTCGTTCAGTTACCCCTCCTAGCTCCCAGTTCTTCAGTTGAGGACCAAATCTTGCCCGGTAGCCTAGGTCCTGTCTGCCTCCTGCAGGCCTGAGGACACACGCCACTGCCTGCCCCGCCTGCCCGGTTGTCATTTTTGAAGCTCTGAGATTATCCTCCTCTGGCTAGGGGCCCCTGCACGTCTCGGACTCCTGGACGCCTCGGAAGCTGCAAGCTCGGGTGTTGGGAGCCTCCCCAGGTCGAAAGTGACACAGCTTAAGCACCGCCTCTGCTCAAAGGAAGGCGAGGCAGGGCACAGGGAGGAGCAATGGGCTGTCCTGCCGGGTTCCTCTTGACCAGCATAGGACCTGGGCCCAAACCTCTGGAATCTTTGCTCCCAGCAGCCCTGGACCGTGCAGGGAAATCGCCAGGATTTTCAAACAACCCAGGAACAATACAGTGCCACCGAATTGAGTAGACTTACAGAATAAGAGCGTGTTTGTATGAATTTACAGAGCAGTTTCCCTCTATATGTCATTACATATATTAAGAGGCTCCTGTGAGGTATGGACTGACCAATTCCACCGTACAAATGAGGACACCAAGGCTCAGGAAATGATGTCACTTGCCTAGAGCCTCTCAGTAAGTAAAGGGCAGCTTCCCTCCTCTTGTGATTTCTCTTTGCTGCAAATAGCTGATCACTATTGTGTAAGACAGCAAATGTCTCCTGACCTACCACCGCTTCCCAAATGCTGGGATAACCCACAGTTTTTTATTTAAATGGTGACCTTTTTGAGGGTGGATTCTTGGTACCTCAGGAAATAGCCTGAGAAAGGGGTAAATTATGCTGGTCCTTATTCTTTGTCAAAACACTTTTTTGTTGTTGCTTGGAGACAAGGTCTCACTATATTGCCTTGACTGGCCTCCCTATGTTGACCAGGCTGGCCCTGAACTCATAAAGGTCCATCTGCCTCCAGAGTGCTAAGATTAAAGGTATATACCACCTGTGCTTGGATTTCATCAAAATAAATAACAATGAATAATGAAAATAGATACAAAAAAACCACAGACCTCTACACTCATCTAATAGTTTGATGTTAATGAGAACATGCCAGCTGTGACATACCTGTTATATGTCAACATGTAATAAGCACATAGGGTACACATATACTTGTGTATACATGTGTGTTCACGGAGTCCTTGGTAAATTCAAGATGTGTTTGTTTGCATAGGGTTTTTGTTGTTGTTTGTTTGTTTTTTTGAGACATGCTAGCCTAGGGTTAGTACAGCCCAGGGTGATTGATCTCAAACTCACAGCGACATTCCTGCTTCAGGCTCCTAGAGCTGCCAAGATTTATTCTTTACCTCTTTCAGTGCTATCAAGTTAGTCATGCAATGCTCCCCACCCCTCACCCCCCCACCCCTGTCTTCCTGTCTTCCTCCCTCGCTAGGGATCATCAAACCTAGGAAATTGCAAACATCCCCACAAATCTGTATGAGTGCCTCAATGTTCATACAAATTAAGGGGCCTGCTCAGACATGGCCTTGGAGGGATTTTCAGGTTGGCAACCTGATCAGCAAATTACCACCCGTCCACTCACAAATGTGTACTGGGCACCTTTGAGCTCATGTATCTTGAAGTACTTGCAACCAGTCCCTGCTATGTGCAGAGCAGTGATTCTCAACCTGTGGGACCCAAGCCCTTCTAAGGGTTCGAATGACCGGTTTACAGGAATCACCTAAGACCATCAGAAAACACAGGTATTTCTATTATGATTCGTAACAGTAGCAAAATTACAGTTATGAAGTAGCAATGAAAATAATTTCTTGGTTGGGGTCACCTCAACATGAGGAACTGCATTAAAGTGTTGTAGCATTAGGAATGTTGAGAACCACCATGTTAGAATCTAAAACTGGGTTCTAGATGTTGTGGTGGACATAGGAGTTTTAGTTTCTCAAGTGCTTACAGTGAACCTATGTAGGCTATACAATCCATGTTGTTTGGGGCACACAAAGGTACCACAGCAGTACTAGTTAAGTTACATGGCAAGAATAGAGCCCTAAGAAGGTAACCACTCATCAGTATTTTATAGTGCTTACCCTGGGACTTAATCAGTTTCACATATGTCGGTTTCCAGGTCCACACTGGTGCTTAGTATCTTAGAGCAAAGATAGAGGGGAAACCATGGTGGGAAAGGTCCTCAATGTCTCTGTTACCTGAACTGCAGGTTATTTGGAATCTTCTAGATGGGTCTAGAACAGTGATTGTCAACCTGTGGGTTGTGACCTTTGGGTTGAATGACTCTTTCACAGGGTTGGCCTTAGACTTTTGGAGAACATAGGTATCTACATTACAGTTCATAACAGTAGCAAGATTACAGTTGTGAAGTAGCAACAAAATAATTTTATGGTTGGGGGTCAGCACAACATGAGAAACTGTATTAAAGGGTCCCCACTTTAGGAAAGTTGACCACTGCTCTAGGGTTAAGTCCTTCGGCAAAACATAGACAGCCAATGGAGACTTACCCTGAAGCCATCCAGCAGGTTCCTCTGAGCAACAAGACACTGTGAAGATGTTCATTCTGCCCCTACCCCAGCTCTAATGTGCCATGATCAAGAGAGAAGCTGTGGTTTTGGTCAAGGTCTCACCAGGTCCTCTTGCAAGGGCTTACAAGGTCTGTGTAGATGTTAGTGTGAGGTTTGTAATGTTGATATGTTAGTATAAGGTCTGTGATGTTGATATGTTAGTATGTGATCTGTGATATTGGTATGTTAGTATGAGGTTTGTGATGTTGGTGTGTTAACATGTGATGTTAGTCTGAGGTTTGTGATGTTGGTATGTTAGTATGAGGTTTGTGATGTTGGTGTGTTAGCATGTGATGTTAGTATGAGGTCTGTGATGTTGGTATGTTAGTATGAAGTTTGTGATGTTGGTGTGTTAGCATGTGATGTTAGTATGAGGTCTGTGATGTTGGTGTGTTAGTATGTAAGTATGTGATATTAGTATGAGATCTGTGATATTGGTATGTTAGTATGAGGTCTGTGATGTTGGTGTGTTAGTATGAGGTCTGTGATGTTGGTGTGTTAGCATGTGATGTTAGATG